AAAGCAGAAAAATTATCAGACAAGTGTGTGTGTGTGTGTGTATCTATAGCATGTTTGCTTGCATGTGTGTGTTTGCAGATTCTAGTGGGTTAAACGTGTGGCACATCCATGCCACATCCTCGCCCGTGTCCGCATCCACATCAAAATGGCCAAGCGACGTTTAGCAGTCGATAAAGTCATTGAATGCAGCACGTGGATGCCTCTTGCCTCTTGCCTCTTGCCCCGGCTACGTTATGCATGTGTACAATATCTGTGTTTGTGTGTGTGTGTGTGTGTGTGGCAGTACTCCTCTGTCCCCACTCTTTGTGACTCATTTTACGCTTTTGTGATAAAGTAATCAGCTGATGCTGTCGCACAAAAGGCGAAAGATAGCCATCGCAGTGGGACAGACAGCACCCGTATGACATGGATGTCAGGACACACACACAAAACACAAGGATACACGGACACATGGAGCACGGCACTGACCAGCCGCAACCGCAAAATATATATTGATTTTATAGCAAATTTATTCATATGAATGGCATTTTATTTGCGGCCAAATATTTACAAATGTTATGCAAACTTTTTAATTCTATTTATTCCAACAATAAATACAAAAAGAGCGGACAAAATTGAAATATAAATATGAATCGTACGGCCGAAACCGGCCAACCAATTGGCCCAAAATAAAATAGACAAAATCAAAGAGAGTGATGGCATAGGAATACTATCTATCCATCTATATATCTATCTGTATATAGGGATTTACTGGTGGAACGATTACAATTTGATGGCAGTGTTCCGTGCCCCGTGCCCACTAAACCGAAAAGCCAACGAGCCGTCGGTCCGGCGTAGAGCGTCTAGACAGGTTCGTAGTTTTTGGCCATGGCCAATAAAGCAAATGCGCGAAAATGCTATACGAGAACTCCTGTCCCGCACTAAAAATTAACAACAGCGACGACACGTTCTGGCCAGAAGGAAATTGGCCAAAAAGAGAGCCCAAGGCAGGCAACAGTGGATGAGTGTGAGAACGGAGAGAGACATAGCGAGACAGACAGAGATGGGGCCACAAGCAGACTGACAGACAGCGAAATGGAATAAGAAATGGCCATGAAAATAATAAAAAAAAATCCTGAATAAATGAACTGACGGGAGAGCAGAGTGCAGAAGAGCAGGATAGAATGCAGAGCAGACACAGGGAATAGACTGTGGATATGAATGAAAATCGGAAAATTCGAAGCAAACAACACGAGGCACAGCAAACATGCCGCAAAAAAAATGTAAAGCCAAAAACCAGAAAACCAGAAACATAACTCGCACGAGGAGCATGGACTCGCAGTGGATTGGATCTGTGTATGTGTGTGTGTGTGTGTACAGGTTGTGTAAATGTCACCGTAAGTGTTAATATCTGTGTGTGTGTGTGTGTGTTTGCTCTGTCGATGGAAAAGTGTGCGAGTGTGGCTCTAACTGTTTCAGTGTGTGCCGTCCCTCTTGCTGTTTCGGTGGTGTGCGTCTGTTTCTGTGTTTGTGCAGTGAAATAAAAACGCAACAATGCGCAATCATCATTATCGTTAAAAGAGGCGCTTACAGAACTAGACAAATTGCCACTTTAGAGAGCCACAGCCAGCGCCAGAGCCACAGCCACTGCGAGGGACCAGAGAACCAGAGGCCGTTCGTGGCACGGCGAGGATAAAAGCCAAAAGGCTCAAAGTAGCTACACCAGAAGCAACAAGAGGCCGCAGCAGCAACCTCACATCCAACCAGCAGCAAGGGGCAACATCAGCAGCAGCAGCAGCAGAAACATGAGCAACGGAAGTTGGCGGCCGCAACGTGCCAAGCGGGCCAAGCGTCTATAATGACCTCTGGGCAAATGGGGCAGCACACACACACACACAGCATCAAAACCAAAATGGCGCACATTAGGGACCGTCGGACGTTGGAAAGTATGCTATGCTGGCTAAGCCAAAAAAAAGAAAAAAAATAAGCTGCGAAAGCAGTAAAGCAACAAGCCAACAAAAAGTAACACTCATAATCAACTGCCGCCGACGGAACAATGAATGGATAGAATCAAACAAAACCAAGGCAGGGACATGGCCAGACATGAGCAGTAGGAATAGCCACCAGATGAGCGGCAGCAGTATCAGAGGGCGGGACCCGTACCAGCATCAAGTTCAAGGTTTCGACACTCATTTCTGGCTTTTGTTTCATCAAAAAGGCATAGCGTAGCACTTTTTTTTTTGGGCTTAATTATAGACACGCACAGGAATACACCCAAAAAACACACACACACACACACGCATACACTCGTAAATGGACAATTATGTGGAAATCAAGAGGAGCAGAGGCAGCACCATACATCACCAGTTCAAGAGCACCAGCACCAGCCCCCTTCCCTCCCCACACAGTGGCAGTGTTCACTCCATGAACATACTGTTCGCTTGTCCCTTTGCTGCTTGGTAATTTGCAGGCATCTAAAAGCTGGGCAAAAGCACTCATTAATGGCAGGATAGGGTTGGGAGTATGAGAGTTAGGCTCGGGGAACCCTCTCCCTTAGATCCTTCTTTACAGCTTTGATTGCTACTGCTGCTGCTGCTCCTGCTGCGGCGTCCTGCGGCCGTTGCTCATGCAATGGCGACAGCAATTATTGTTACAATTAAAAAACCATTAGCCGTAATTTGGTTACATTTTGCTGTTCCTTTTGGCCAGTTATACGACAGTGCGAGTATATGTTTGCGTTGTTGCGGGGGAAACCATTCAGCGGATTGGGCCACACGACACTTCCGCTGGATAAGAGGCGGCAGGAAAACGCAATGAAAACATTAATTTGCCGCCCAAGAATCAATAATAGGAATAGTAGTATAGCAGCACACTTCCTCCTATATCCTCTATTCTCTGACTGTATTTACACGATTTCAAATATTCATGGTAATAGCGCAGAAATTGCTTAATTCCATTTAATAAGCTGAAAATGTCTCCACCGTTGCGTACAATTGATTGTTTACCCAATAATTGGCTGGCCTACGAGTATCTCCGAGGAGCTCCTCCAGAGGGAATTTTACCAACTTTGAACTTAACTATTTATGGAAACGAACTTTTCCCCCCTATTATCGCATAATTTCCATGGGCCACATTCCAAAGTACCAATGTAGACAGGGGGGAAGGCAGAAGGGAAGAACAATTTCTGGAAACGTTTTTGTAGTTTTTCTTTACTTCTTTTTTTTGTCTGTTTGTGTGTGTGTGTGAGTGTGAGTTTAACTCGTAGCACACATGCAACATGCCTCGGAGTGGAATAGCCACAAAGTGATGGGGCCTAGGCTGTGCCATTGATTGGCAGCTGTCTCACGTGGCACCACTCTCTGAATCCCCTGCAATCCCCATTCTCATCCTCTTGCCCAACTGAGTGTCAAAGGCGCTTAAGCGCTTTGAGCAAGCCGCCCCTTTATTTCTCACTCTTTTCCTTCTTCATTTTTAGTTTCCCTTTCCGTCTTTTTCCCTTTCCTTTTTTTTTTGTGTGTGTGTTTTTTTTTTTTGGTTCTGGCCAATCTTCCCAAGTCCTTTGTGCCGAACGAACGACGCTGAACTGCTTTTTGTGCCCTTCGCATATTAATACTCTAACAGGGGGAAAATGCACTTGCAGTTTCCCAGGCAGCGGCTATGGGAGGCTACTTTGAAAATTATACAAATTATGAATGGCATTCGGAGAAGGGAAGGCTGCAATTACAATGGCCATTGAAACCCTAAGCGGGTGCATGCCATTTAATTTTTACAGCGGCAATGTGCATAAGAAATATTCAAGTTTTTGCACTAAAGTTCTATTTAAACATTTACACAATTGATTCGAATTTTATGGGGAAAGTTTAATGTTGGAAACTTGGATTTCGAATTACATATTTCAGCACGGGAACCTTCTCAGAATTTAAAATTCGAAAGGAAGCAAAATTATACTCTGGTATTCATTCTTATTGTTCCCAAACTAAACTTATGGAATGTGGAAAAGTGTATAGACCTATATTCTGTACATCTTCGATTTGCATTTAAAATTCTCCGCTGTCAAAACTCTATTCTTGGTAAGGGCATACCCCCCATCGGCTTTCTGGGTTGCCCGTTGCTGCGGTACTTTCTGGTTTTGGTCTTCTCATAATCACCGAAAAAAAAAAAACAGACGGAGGCGGTGCAGGGGTGCTGGCCAGAATGCTTTTGAAGTTCTTTGTTGCTTGCTGCAGCTTTTTTGTGGCTGCTTCTGTTAGTGCGGCACGGGGCAAGGGGCTAGGGGCTAGGGCATACGGAATAACCTCGACATGCGATGCAATCGCGGGCTCTTTGGCCATAACGTTTTTTTGTTGTCTTGCTTGCACTTTTTTTAGCATTGAAGTCGCGACCAGGTGGTGGCTACTGTTACGGCCATGGCTACTGCAGTTAGCCCAAGATATTGCACACTTTGCTTACCAAGAAACGGCCAGAGGTGCAGCCAAGCAGAGAGAGAGAGAGACAGAGACAGAGGAATAGCGTTTGGAGCGCTTCTAAGTGGCAATAACAATTTGGCCGTTTGCATTCGCAATTTATGTTTTGTCGCTTTCGAGTTGAATGAATGGGCAAAGTTCCTTGCGGCTCTCGGGTCTGGTCTCCCGCTCCCCACACAAATGCAAATGGCAACGGCAACTGATGACCAAAAATAACTTCAATCTGTGGATAGAGGTGGAAGTTGGAAGGTGGTGGCAAGGTGGCAGGGGCCAAGAGGCATGAGAACGAGTTGCAAACAAGTTGGAATCAACTGGTCAGCGAATATAATGCAAAGCGACTGCGGCTGCGGCTGCAGCTCGGATCCCATGAAACGAACTTGGCAAACTGGAAGCAGGTAAAACTCTGAGATCTGAGGCCACTCTGAGGTAACTCTCTGCAGTAACTCTGATGATGCAGCAAGCTGGCAGAGCGTTGCAAGTTTTCGGCTATCAGTTGCAGGGGACACACACAGGCACACGTTCACATGTTCATTTGGAAACTGGCATTTGTATATTCACCTCACAAAATGTGTGCAGATTTTTTGCTGTTAAAGTTTTTATTCTTCCTCTGAATATTTCACTGATTTTTATTGTTGTTTATTTTTCTCAGTAATGTTTGGCACTGTTCACAAAATTATTCACGATTTTCGAAGCTCTCTTTCTCTGTTTCATTCAGCTAACTGACGTTGCACCGTCCGGATTGGAGTACCGTTCGCGACGCTGGCTCATTTTTGAGTGTCGCAAACTCGTCGCTGCGCTGCTTTCTGTCCGCTGCTTCTCGCTCGTCTCGGCTTCCACTTCGTATGCTCATGTTCGTGCATGCTCAATCCTGTTCATTCGTGTCGCGGCTTCGTGCGGGCATGTGGCCCCGAAACCAGTTTGTGGCTTTTCGTTGGCTGTTGGCAATGCTGTTGGCCCTAAACTGGGTACACTTTCGACTTGCCGGCATTTTTAACAGTTTGTTTACGTTGGCAGGCGCTGGCTTTGGCATGTACAAATGTTAAAGATAACAGCAATACTAAAACTATGTACAGTATGAGTATGTAGGGGATTCTCTGTGAAGGAAACTCAATAATTTGCATTAGTTTCCGGTTTTAATCAAAGTTGTATTCACTGCCGCAATGTATGGGAAACATTATATTATTATACAAAAACGTGTGATTAGTTAATTAGTAATTTAAATGAAATTCAAATAATCAATTGATAGCAGCTCTTTTTCCACCACGATTTTCCTTCGTGTAAATTTTAAAATAAAAAAGTTATAATTAGTTGAGAGTATTTTAATTCGTCCCAGAAATGTGCAAAGGACCTTCTTGCCACTAAAAAAACTTTCCATTAATTGCCATAAATTAGAAGTGCGGATACGTGCTGCATTTAAATATCTTATTTATTCTGCAGCAGGACCACACAGCCACACACATGTTGTGGAGAGTCAAGCCAATCAAGTGATTGACCACGAATGGGGACAGGCGGAGAGGAGAGCTGGGGTGGGTGGTGGTCGGTGGTGGAGCCTGTAAGCATTCAAATCATTCGAAATTAGGACATGTGGAATAATTTAGACCCGTATTAATAATGGCACGTAGCCAATCATTTGAATGCGATTTAATTAATTTCCTCTTTGGTTTACCTTGGAAATTGCCCCGAAAGCTCAGGCCGTAATGACAGGACCGTAGGACTAAGCCACTGCTCACTCGATGGCCGAGATAGATGTGCACTACTTATACATACATACGCACTTACACATACATGTGCCAGTAAATACGAATACATATATCAATAAAATCAAATAAATATATCGTTTGAGGGCCAGCCATCCACCTGAGATCCACACGCATATAAATAACCAATGATGCGGCATTTATCTGACTCTTATCCCGGCCCCTGCTCTGGTTCCAGCTCCAAGTCCTGCCCCATTCCGCAGCAGAACTTCGGACTGCCATCAGTCTCAGCTTACGTTCCATTTAAAATGGTTTTGGGCCGTCCTGGGTCCCATTGAAACTAAAGACGAAGAAATTGTTCTTCTTTTTTTTGTTTTGTCCGTCTTCTCGTTGTTGCTCAGGCATTGTTTGGGGGGAGTCCTCGTACTCCCGTATCGGTTCTCCTTTCGGGCTAAAAGGGATAAACGTTTTTAGCATGGCCTGCACGATTTTTATGTAAGGAACGTGTTGTTGTTGCCCGTTGCCCCCGTACCCATTGTCCCCCCATCTACCACTGTCGGCCGTGTCCGTGCGACTGTTTCGCGTCATTTGCTCTCCGCTGGATCGTAATATAATGGCTGGCAGCAGCTTCTCCGGGTCTGGTCTCCAATTGCAGCGCAGCGCCGAGCACTCCTGAACGGCAAACGGAAGTAAGTTGAAGCCAAAAATTCTCTGCCGTTTTTATTTGACGAAACGCTTTGTGCCTTTGTGACTACGATTCCGATCCCAGGGCATTCCTCCAGAAGTTGTCAAAACAAAGCGAACTAAACTTGCAATAAGTGGAGAGCAGGAGACGGGCCGCGACTGGATCTGCGTCTGGGGCACCTGCCTCACCTGGCATCCGACCAAGTGCAAGTCCCATTCTTTCTCTCTGCCTGGCTCTGTGGGGCAAGCAACAGAGAATATCGCTTACCAACTCGTTTGGCAATTTTTCTCAATTTTCACATTGAAAACTAAACGCCTTTCCCTGCGCCCTCCCTCTGGGCTGTTTGGGCATCCAATTTGGGGGCAGGTACAGACGGTGGCAGTGGGGCAGGGCGGCAGGTGTCAGCGGCACAAAGCTGACTGGATTGCCGCAGGCCAGCAGCTCTGGTTGCTTTTGCCTTCGCTTCATCTTTGGGGGCTGCGGCACCTACTGTTGCTGTTGCTGTTGCACGATTGCTCTTTGGCGATTCGGACTCCCCTCACTCACACACACACAAACACACACACATTGACGCACACTGAGCGAAACAAAGCACAAATTGTTGTATGTAATTGTACGTTGGGTTTCCCTCTACTGCCACACACACACACACACACACGCACACCGAAAGCACACCTGCCGCTGCGTGCCCCGAATTCCATTGCATACTTTCCGACGCCTGCTTCAGCATGCCTCCCCTTGCAGCGCGTACGCGCACCCGCCCGCCACCACCCCAAAGCCTTGGCTGTGCAAATAAAAAGTGATATACGCGCGACACTGAATGAATATTAATCGCTTTCTTTTTGCCCCTGCCCCTGCCCCTGCCACATGCCCCATGGCCCCTTGCTTGGCCTGGATTGGACTGGGCTGCCAGCCAGTTGGCCATTCCATGTGGCTCCCATGTAGAATGCGGCACCTTTCAGCCAACTTTCTTTTGTTTGGACCAGCTGCCCGACTGATTTGGCAGCTTAAATGATTTCCGCTTCAACTCGACGATGCGTATGCTGGGAATACGGGTGAATTTATTAGTTAAGTCGGTCTGATTGTTCCTGCTGCTGCTGCTGATGCTGCTGCTGCTCTGCCCTTTGCTTTCTTTGATTTCTCTTCTCTTCGTATTACATTTTAGAAATTAACACTCTTTTTCTCTTGGATAGAGGGTGTGGAGCGTGGTTGTGGTCCCTGTTTGGCCAAAGCACTTAGTCAAAACGTTAAAAAAAAAACTCAGACAGAAAGAAAATCCTTTGGTAACGATGTTGTAGATACCCTTTCAGATGCATCGCTTCTTTGTAAACGATGCTAAGGCCAAAATCATTATACCCTGCCCAAGAGTAATGCCTGGGATTAACTTATTATGCACGAAAAAACCCTTTCAGCATTAAGTTGCCATAAGGGTTAGCACCTCTACCAGTTTCTCTCTCCCCTGCACTTGACACCTTTGCAGGGCTTCACTGTGGGTCCCCAAAAAAAAAAAAAAAAAGTAGAGAGCATTTTGGGCAGTTGCATTTTTGTGCCAGCCCTTGACGTGTGTGGTGCTGCTTAATTATTTATGTTATTTTTTAATGAATTTCTCGCATTAAATTTCGCAACAATGAATCGCTTTGTGCTTTTTGTGGGGGGGTGTTCGATGGCTTCGAGGTGTTTGCCTCGGTTGACACCTCATCACGGCAGCCTTCCCCGTTCCCCCCTCTGTTGCGTATCCGCCTCAGAGTCTGGCATTGGGTCTGCTGGGTATTTCCGCAAACATGTTTGCATGTTTTGCCACATAGAATTTATAGTTAATTTTCAATTTTGTTGAACAAGCAGCGCAGACACCGACACTCGCATAGATTTGAATGAATGGATTCCATTTTCCAGCCATCCCAGGTGGACACTGACGGGAGGGGTATGGCTGTGGATGGGAGCGGTAGCGGTAGCGGGGTGTAGCCACCCTGTGTCAAAGGCAAACTTTGCAGACAACAAAAGCTCGTCGCAGACTGTACACCACAGGGCTGGTGGAAGTGGGGTGCTGATGGTTTCAGGGGGGGCAGGCATGAGATGCAGCAAAGTTTTTGCTCTCCATTCTAATTGCCAGTCAAGCCGCCGTCGCCGCACACCCCTTTTGTAGGTGTCAGGGCTACGCCCATGTGGCTTTTGATTCTCTGTGGTTGGAAGACTCAAAAAATGAAAAAAAAACGAAAGCAAGACAACTAAATACAAAAAAAAAAATATATAGAGAACAAACTGGCAACGAAACTAATCTGCAAGTGAACCCGAACATGACACGCACACAGATGCACACACAGATACTCCTGCCACACACACACATGTGCATACATGGAAAAGCAATTTGTTTGCGGCTCTCACTATTGTTGCATGATTATTGTTTGTTTGGATGCGTCTACGCGACTCCCAGTCCCCAGCTCCTGTCCCCCCCCATCTTTGTCACACTTTTTTTCCAGCAGCCTCTCTGGCTCTGCCTTTCTCCCTTTCACTAACTCGTTTGCCGTATGTATGTGTGTGTGTGTCTGTGTGTGTGTGTTTGGTTGCTGTGTAGTTAACCTGTCTGCTTGTTGGATTACGCGAAGCAACCCACAGACAGGCGGATAAAGGGCGAACCGGATGGGGTGGGGAGACAAACAAAACAGGCAACAAAACATGTATCTATTCATATGCCACTTTGTGTCGTCTCTCTTGTGCGGATGAAGGGATGGAAGGGTGGAAGGGTGCAGGTCTGGTAATGCAATACGCATGCAGCGATACCACAGAGCTCAAGCCCAGCCATAAACCCCACCATTTGGGGTTCCACTGCGTTAGACAGACATTTTAACGCTTATTTTACTTTTGGCTACCCACACACAACACTCACATGAACACTCACAGAAACACTCGAATACACTCGCACCGCAATTTTCACACTTATTTGCCTTTACGCTCAGCTCAATTGCATTTCACGTGGGAGAAAAGAGTGCACTTTAATGCCGTGAATGTGAATGTACGAGTACAACGGCAACAAAATCATAGTGGGTCGTGACTGGGGATCTCCGGAGAGGATTTACGATGCAGGTCGAGAAAGTCCTTGAAGACATCGCACAGAAAGTAGAGCCAGAAACCTGAAATTATAAGAGGGCAGGCTGTTATACATACATTTGTTGGCATTTTGGCATGGAGCAGCTCTTACGCACCCGCAATGATGTAGAATAGGGGAATTACCAGAACCAGACGTTTACCGTGCAGATAGCAATAGTAGCTCAAGGTCTTGTACAGCAGCGTGTAGATGAAGATAATAGCCGCGACCAGCCAGGGCAGGAACATCCAGTGGTTCGCCTTTAGGGAAGAATCAGCAATAAAACCTTCAGCTGCCACCTGTGTGGATATGCCAGCATTCAGCTCTCACCTTCAGTGAGCCCACAATGAGAAAGACTCCGCCGATTGTCTGTAGCAGACCGATGTTGTACCACACAGAGATCTCAGAGGACTCGCGGGTCTCCACCCAGTTGGGGATCAGCAATAGGATGACTATGGAGACGCCCAACGATAGCACCGCGATGGCCATGCGAACGAGAATTCCTTGCGCTTCATAAGGGAGCATTTTGTCCATCTAAACAGCCCGAACAAACCGCAACAACTGAACATTCACTCCATCCACCCTCCCAGAACTGTGAATTGTGAATTCGTTGCTTTCGAGAGAAATATTACGAGTATATGCTGGCATTACCACTCAGGAATTTATTTGCGTGTCGGACTCTTGATAAACAAATTTTCTTAGAATTTCCAATCAGAAGAAGTGACTTTTTACATATATATGTATGTATATCCAATACTGGTGACGTCATAGCAGCGTAAATAGGGGGAGCCCCTCGATCGAATATAAATGTGCTCTCTGCAATCGATTATACTCTTTCCTTGCTCTCTGAATGTGAGCACACACGTTATCTGTTCCACTGACTCATCTCTGGGCCTGCCTTTCTCTCGCCGCCCTCTGTCTCTGCTTATCGCTTACCGTTTATCGCTTACTTTTCGTCAGCAATTGCTCAATCGCACTGGCCAGTGCACTATGTGGGAAATTCCAATTTTTCGGGTATTAATTAATAACTTTTAAACTAAGCAAGATTTTTCGATGCGGTTTTTTGATTAATGTTATGTAAACCCTTAGAAACATTATTGGGAAAAGTAGGCGTGCTACCGCCCACAAATTAAAAAAAAAATATTATTTTTTTTAATAATATTAAAAATTTTAATATCTTAATAGCTTTTCTACAGCAACAGCTGACTTTAACAGCTGTTAGACTTAACAGTGCTATGCTATATAACATTTTTGGTATAGGACTTTATAGTTTGAAGTTTTCTTAATATGTTACCAAAAAAAAAACAATAAATTTTAATACTTTGAGAAAATGACTAAATACCCGAAAAATGGGAATTTTCCCCATAGTGCAGTGGCCAGCGGCTCTTGCTGGACCTTTTCCATCAAATCGAATTATTTGATGTGCAAAAACTTTAACTTTGAGGATATGGTGAGCGTTGAGCGGTGGGTGGCTCCAATCCCCATCTTAAGTAGCTAAAGCATTTCGCGTAAATTAGCCAAGTGTAGACTTCATTAAGTTGGGCCAGTAAATTAAGTGCTAATGTCGAAAGTTTTGACCGACAAAGTGCGCAATGAAATGTTGCTGCTGTTGGTGTTGGTGTTGCTGATGTTCCAGCACCACTCTAGCTCCGGAAACAGCCAGGGGCATGTACAGCCACGGCAAAAGCAGCAGCAACAGCAGCATCAACCGCAACAACAACAGGATGAACAGCAGGACGGGAACGTGAAGAGCAAAAGTGGAAAGGACGCTAAATTGATGATGTAGAGCGAAAGCGAACGAAAATTGCACTCACTTTCCTTGGCAGCCCGAGCCTGAGCCCGAGCACCAGTACTAGGGCCAGTACCAGTCCCAGTCCCAGCCCTAACCCCTCCCTAAGGGCATCTGCCACCCCCTATTTACCCTCTCGCTCTCGCTCTTCATCTCCATCTGCCTGCCACACAGTCTGCAAAATTTTTAATGCTTTAATCTTGATGCTAATAAATCTTGAAGTTCTCTGGCACTTTTACATTACATTCAGGGGAAAAAGGGGTTTTGTTTTCCCCTTTCCCGAGCACGGTGTGGGAGTCAAGGGGCAAATACAATTAGACAGCTGCACACTTAACGTTCTTAGTTTAAGCCAATTTGAATGCACTTTGCCCAGGCAGCAGCCACCAGGCATCCGAAACTAACTACAGAAACTCTCAACAAATGCCCCAAAAAGCCAAGCCCTGGCCCTCACTCCCATGCCATCGAGGTAATTGCTGCTGACACTTGAAGCCAGTGCCAGTGCTAGTGCTCGTGCTCCAGTGTCAGTTTTTGGTGGCGACATCTTCCCTAATCGAATTTCAAGCGTTTCGGTGCGTGTTCCCTGGCCATTGATTAGCCCAGCCATGGCCTCGTCCTGGCCCGGAGTTCCTGTGTATCAATCAGCCCCTGGCTGGGGAAAAGGGGCAACATAATTTCCCCAACCCAAAGTTCCCTCTCAACTTGGCCACAATGTCATCAGCAGTTGACACTTGCGGTGGCTGTGGTCGGTGGCGTGGAGGCGTCTCTGGGTCTCTGTGACACACAACTGTCAGAATGGCGTGTGACAAATTTTTGTTATTAGAAGACGGCAAAGCCAGGCAGGCGCCTCCACCCTCAGTGGGTTTTATTAACTTGAAATTTATGGCCAGCCATTAGGCAAGACAAATTAATCAAATGTAAGAGAGGGGGAGAGTGGAGAGCGTTGTGCATTTTACTTTTTATTTCCCTGTACATAAATTTGTATTTAAAAATGAGTTAGAAGCGGAGGTTACAAAGGCGCCTGGAGACGCGGTCCGGGCTCAATTTCACGCCATCTCATCTCCCATCTCGCATCTTCCACCTGCCAAATGCCAAATGGATCCCATTTCTCTCTTCGCGTCTGAGACTCCTCTTATTATGTAAGAATTTGTCATTTCCTCAAGCACGACCTGCGTCTGAAAATGCAATTTAACTGTTCTGTTTCAGTGGGGGGGAAAGGAATTTTAATGTTCTCGTTTTTAATGGGGGAAAACATTAAAGCGGCAGAAAGTAAAACAAACTGGATGGTTCCGCTCCCATCCGTCTGCCTTCTCCTCATAGATATGGGCATCTGGAAAACCTCCTCGATCTTCCATCTCTCCAACCGAGCTGTTGTCCAGTTAGAAAAGCAGCAGCATATGTTGTCCAGGGGGTTTTCTTTTGCTCTTCCGAGGGGTTGAGCCAGAGCTTTATGCTCTGGCCATGGCTGGGCACACACCAAAGGCAGTGGTAAAAGCAACAAAAAAAAAACCGTGCAAAAATATGTTGCACATAAATTTGTATTAAGTTTGGCCCGCTGTCACTTTTTCTTCTTCGGCCGCCTCTAAGCAATGCGGGCAGACAGCATAACGACATAATCATAAATTTAAATATGCAACCCGGAGTTCGCTCAGAGTGTTTTCCCCATCCGTACTTTACATCTTTGCCAAAAATACAAAAAAGAAAACACACACACACACAAAAATAAGCGGAAAATGGCATAGAGAGAGAGAGGGGGAAAACCTTGGCAGTGACAGTTTCACTTTGCCTGGCATAAGGAATTTCGCTGCCCATCGTCGTTGCCGTCGCCTGTTTGCCAGCCACACATGTTGGCCCAGCTTTATGCGTCTTAAATGAAGTTGTTTCTCTGGCTGTCGAGATGGCAACTGGCAGTGGAATGGGTGCTAGAATGGGATTTGGGAGTGGGGACTTGGAGGTGAAGTTGTTGCTATGCTGGATCTTTATTAGCTAAGGCTGGATGTAAATCCGAAGTACTGAAACCCAGAGGCGAACATGTACAGCATGTTCGAAGAAAGAATCCTAAGAGGCTTTGTCTCAGCTAAAGACTGCCTATAATGACTTGAGCTGATAGAGAAGATAAGTGAGGATTTAGCTAAATAATACAAAAACTATATGGGGAAAATGGAGAGTAGAACCTAATAGACGGAAAATCTAAAAAAATTCTATCGTATTGAATAGAAGTTAAAACTAAACGGAAAATAAGCTAAAGATTGATTTACGTTAAACTTGGAACTAATGGCGTGCTCTGCTCTGACTGATGTGAACTCTATATAGGCATACAAATGGTTTCAATCAGCATCCAAATAGAGACTCCTAAAACCGGAATCCCATAAGATAAGGTACCATTGGCCTCCATTTGTGCATATTCCCAGTTCAATCAAGTAATTTCAGACGATTTACAATGCCAGAAAAAGAGTGCAAGAAAAATGGTCCCAAAAGTTGGGGGCGAAACCCAACACCTGGTCGCATCCATACCCCTAAAACACTCTTGGCAAACCCCCCAACAAAAATTTGACACAAACATTTGCGAGTAATCCAAGAGAGAGAGTAAAAGATAACGAGAGAGAAAGAGATAGGGAGAGGAGAGGAGAGAGCTGTCTAGAGACAGAAAATGACAAATAAAATGTTTCGCAAAACAAACTATGGGGCAACAATGGATTTGGGCACAACTAAGAAGAAGGAAAAGCAGCAGGAGATGCAGGCCGAGCCTGACACTGAGACTGAGCCTGAGCTGGAGGACAAGAGGTAACCCCAAAGGAGAGGCATTAGTTTATTAGAGGGTGTCCTTTCTTGTGTGTGTGTGTTAGAAGCTTTAATACCCGAAACCAACAAAAAAGTTTTAGTCAGAAGAGAAGCAGATTCACTCGTCGCACTATGGGATAAAAGACCCACAAAAAATAGTAGTAACCAAATTGAGATCGAACCAAACACCACATAAAATCGGGCGAATGTGTGTGATGGAATGGCCCAAACCGAAACCGAAATACATTACACAAGATCATTAAGAACACAGTCAAAATCTCCAACGAATATGTCAATTTTTTTTAATAAATTGTATAATTTTTAGCCACTGTAAACCGAAGGAGTGGAGTGTGGGTGACAAGGGAAATTCATGTTATTTTGTGTGTGAGAAATCTATTTAAATGGTGAAAAGTTTCGGGCCCCTTGTAGGACATGGAAGGTGCTTCCGCAATCCGGATCAAGGATATACGCAAATAATGTCTGTAAACAATTTTTATTGCTTTCTGGTTGAGGGGCTGTGCCTGTGGCTGTCCCCTGTTCCAGTCCCTGTCTCTGACCGGGGGTTTTGCTTACAAAAGTAAAAGTTGTTGATAGAAATCACAGAACATAAACAGACAGAGAGAGATACAACAAGAGTGGGTGTGAGGGATAGATACGTATCTGTGAGCACACAATAACATAAATTGCAAAATGTGACAAAGGGTTGTGCCCCAGTCTCAGCGCATCTCACAGCTCCCCCCCTTCGACCCACTCTCTTTAGTGGGTCAGCAGCCCTAGGAATACGAGTATAAATAACAAAAGGAAGAACGGAGACAACTCCTTCAAGACAGAAGAAAACCCAACGAACTTCTGTCGATGACATCAGCAAACAGTCGAAGAAATTGAAAAAAACCAATCCTGAGCAAGCCACATACATGTTTCCCATTCCCAGTGCCAGTCCCAGTCCCAGTGCCAGTCACTGCCACAAAAGGGAGCCAAAAGACAGCCAACCAAACGCAGCCAAGTGATTCACATTAAAAGTTAAGACTTTAAACTTTAAGCTGCCAAATTGGCAGA